CCCTGATCTGAACCCGAGCGGTGCTTAGTTGTTGGACTTCTGTGCCAGTCACGGTTTGTCCATCACGAACACCATGTTCGAGCACAAGGGTGTCCACCAGTGCACGTGGCACCAGGACACCCTAGGCCAGAGGTCGATGATCGACTTTGTTGTCGTATCATCTGACCTTCGACCGCGTGTCTCGGACACTCGGGTAAAGAGAGGGGCGGAGCTGTCAACCGATCATCACCTGGTCGTGAGTTGGATCCGCTGGCAGGGGAAGAAGCCGGTCAGACCTGGCAGACCCAAGCGTATAGTGAGGGTCTGCTGGGAACGTCTCGCTGAGCCCCTTCGAGGTCGGCCTCGAAGAGATTCTGGCAAACCATCCGGCGCCTCAGGAGGGGGAAGCAGTTCTTTGCCAACACCATGTACGGTGCGGGTGGAGAGCTGCTGACCTCGACTGGGGATATTGTCGGGCGGTGGAAGGAATACTTAGAGGTTCTCCTCAATCCCCCCGTCACGTCCTCTGTTACAGAGGCAGAGGCTGAGGATGTTGGGGCGGGTACATCCATCTCCCTGGCTGAGGTCACCAAGGTGGTTGGTAGCCTCCATGGTGGCAAGGCTCCGGGTGTGGATGAGATCCGCCCTGATTATCTAAAGTCTCTGGATGTTGTAGGACTGTCTTGGCTGACACGTCTCTGCAACATCGCGTGGCGATCGGGGGCAGTGCCAATGGAGTGGCAGACCGGGGTGGTGGTCCCTCTCTACAAGAAGGGGGACCGGAGGGTGTGTTCCAATTATCGTGGGATCACACTCCTCAGCCTCCCCGGTAAGGTCTACTCCAAGGTACTGGAGAGGAGGTTACGGCCGATGGTCGAATCTCGGATCCAGGAGGAGCAGTGTGGTTTTTGTCCCGGTCGCGGAACACTGGACCAGCTCTATACTCTCCATCGGATACTCGAGGGTTCATGGGAGTTTGCCCAACCTGTCCACATGTGCTTTGTGGATTTGGAGAAGGCGTTCGACTGTGTTCCCCGGGGTGACCTTTGGGGGGTTCTCCGGGAGTACGGGGTCGGAGGTCCTCTGCTGAGGGCCATCCGATCCCTGTATGACCGGAGCCAGAGCTGTGTTCGCATTGCCGGCAGTAAGTCAGACCTGTTCCCGGTGAATGTTGGCCTCCGACAGGGCTGCCCTTTGTCACCGGTTCTGTTCACTGTATTTATGGACAGAATATCTAGGCGCAGCCAGGGGTCGGAGGGGGTCCGGTTTGGAGACCACAGGATTTCATCTCTGCTGTTTGCGGACGATGTTGTCCTGTTGGCTCCAACAAACCAGGACCTGCAGCATGCACTGGGACGGTTTGCAGCCGAGTGTGAAGCGGCTGGGATGAGAATCAGCACCTCCAAATCCGAGGCCATGGTGCTCGACCGGAAAAAGGTGCCTTGCCCTCTGCAGGTGGGTGGAGAGGTCCTTCCTCAAGTGGAGGAGTTCAAGTATCTCGGGGTCTTGTTCACGAGTGAGGGAAGAATGGAGCGTGAGATTGACAGGCGGATCGGTGCAGCGTGCGCAGTTATGCGGTCGCTGTATCGGACCGTTGTGGTGAAGAGGGAGCTGAGCCGAAAGGCAAAGCTCTCGATTTACCGGTCAATCTTCGTTCCCTCCCTCACCTATGGTCATGAGCTTTGGGTAATGACCGAAAGAACGAGATCGCGGATACAAGCGGTCGAAATGAGCTTCCTCCGCAGAGTGGCTGGGCGCTCCCTTAGAGATAGGGTGAGGAGCTCAGTCACACGGGAGGAGCTCGGAGTAGAACCGCTGCTTCTCCACGTCGAGAGGAACCAGTTGAGGTGGCTTGGGCATCTGTTCCGGATGCTTCCTGGACGCCTCCCTGGGGAGGTGTTCCGGGCACGCCCCACCGGGAGGAGGCCCCGCGGAAGACCCAGGACACGCTGGAGGGACTATGTCTCTCAGCTGGCCTGGGAACGCCTTGGGGTCCCCCCGGACGAGCTGGAGGAAGTGTGTGTGGATAGGGAAGTCTGGGCTCTCTGCTTAGACTGCTGCCCCCGCGACCCGGCAACGGATAAAGCGGAAGAAAATGGATGGATGGATGGATGATGATGAACAAGAGTCCAAGGTATAAAACAAAACTTAAAAATCCAAAGGCAACAGGACAGACATGGACAAGACTTGAAAATACAATGGGCACAGGGTACATCAAACCACAGAGAACTAATGTCTAAATAAATCCAAATACAGAAATAAAATCCACACCATGACATCTCTCTCATGACGCGACGGCTCACATTGTCACTCAGGAAGGCCGGCCCGCACTGAAATGTTTTATCCCTGAGCTCTGTTGTGTTTTTACCTTTACTTTCCAAAAAACAACACATTTCCTCATGCAGCTCAAAGCTCTTTTCAGTGCATTTCCCCGGCTAAGCACTCTCACCTTTGTGTGATGGGGCTTCTTTTCCCTTTTCCATCAGCAGTTCTTGTAGATTAGTAGCCACAATGTTTCTGCTCAGACTCACATTTAAAGCCAATTATCAACATTGTGTAAAAAGGGTTAATACGTCTCACTTTCCTTGTAATGAGTGTCATATTTCTTTTCCCCTTTTTAAGTTGAATTACAACATTAAATGGACTTTGGAACGTTATTCTATTTTTCCGAGTTTCACCTGCAGTTCAGGCATAGAAGAAACGCAGACACTCAGAGAACTCGGATGTGCAATCGACCAATCAGAGGACGTTTTTTGTTCAAGAAAGCCAGAGACAAAGTGGTGGAGGTGGATGTAGACAAAGCCATGTTTTATGTTTTTGAACAGAGTAAAGCTATAGAATAAAGAGAAAGTTTGGAGAATTTTAAATACATTATTGTCCCACAGTGGAATACCTAATTTTAAAGTTTTGAATTTGTATATCTCACTTAATAATTCATACACCTGGGTGACTGTTGATGGTCATAAATATCAGATGCATATATCATGGTGAAAATGCTACAAATTAATAGTGAGTGTTGTGTACATTTCTTAATAAATCTGGTTCCAAACTTGACTGGGAAGATGCTGGATTTCCCGTAGAAATCTAGTACAGCTCCTGTGCGCCTGGAGACCACCCAGACTAGCTTCTCTGCTTTCACACTCTGCCACCGGTGATTATACTTATTTTATTTAAACATGAAAGGAACAACTTGAGCAGGAGTGGGCAATTGTATTTTGCAATTGTATTTTTCTTAGGGACCACATTGGAATATGACCTTCTTGTGGAGGGCCAAACCACTTTTCACTCAAGTTACAATTTCATTTCATTTTCATTTTCTGTACATCAGCAGTGAAAGCTACTTCAGTTATAAAAGGTTATTTGGAACAGGTTTCTGGGCTAGATATTATCCTTAGTCAGCAAATAGAAATCAGAAAGAATAGCAAATAGCTTGATCATATATGCATGTCTTTTCTATGTGCTCTTGAAAGCATCTGCTGGCCCTGTCTCATTAGTATCAAATGTATGTGTTTAAATTGCAGCCTAACTATAGAGTAGAAGGGTTTTCGAGACATAATCCAGTTATGCCAAATGGACTGGTTTTTCACACCCCAATCTCAGCGCATTACCAATTTAAGTAAATAGGAGAATGATCAAATTTTCAATGCTATGGAAAAGTTTTTTCATAATGGATTATTTATCCCACTGGAGGAAATTCAGATGACCCTCAGTAGCTGATGCAGGCAACAAATTGTTACATTCATAAATCATATACCAAACATATACCAAGGATTAAACCTTCCCTAAACCATGTTCATCACTACAGCAAATCCTTTCTTCTGTCGGATGAGTCTGCTTAGTTTGGGCCATTTTCTCTGCTCTGTTCAGTGTGGAAACCCTACATTTACGTACTCGTGCTGATTTAAAAAAGAAGCCTTCCTCCCGTGTATTGTATGTATCGCCCCTCAATAAACATTGTTGTGCTACATGTCTGTTTGAGTCTCTCCAGCTTGAAAAATAGTTGATACTGTGCCTTTTCTTTCCGTAGCCACCAACAGCATTCTATGGTTTGATTAGATGAATGTGGTGAGACCTTTGTGATCAATCACCTTTACTCTGCAGGCTGAACGAGAAAAAGCTCCATCTATTTCCCTCCACATCTGGAAAGCCCCAAAACTTGGAGCCAACAGTGACTCTGACGTCAGCCTCTGTATCGGGATGTCCCACACATGTTTTTTAGAATGCACTTACGCAAGAAGATATCACTGAACCACTTCTTCTTTCCAAATTAAAACAATCTGCAAGACACATCGGTCAAGGTAGGGCGGCTTTCTTTCTAGGTTTTGTTAAAGAAGACATTATGTTCGATTGACCATCCACAGCTGTTTTAGAGATTGTTTGGGTTAGTCTTGTCATTCAACTGCGTGATTCATGCACATTTGAGTCATTATACATTTCTGAACCTGAAACGCTAGACAGCTCCAATTCTTGAACTTGCTATGTTTAGATCCAAATATCTTTTCCCCCGTCCCAATCCATAATGTGCATGATTTTTCCTATGATTGAGATAGTGTTTTGTGTTTTTTCTCAACCAGTATTTGACTTTCAACAGGAACCTAAGAAAACAAAAAGAAAAGGCAGACGAAATGAACATTCCTGGACTCTAAAACTTAAAACGTGAAAACAACAGTTAATATAGAACAGAGAAGTGCAATAATTTTCTCAGGAGGTCCACATTGTTACATCACCGTGTTGTGAAGGGCTGAACCTGTATCACGTGATTGCCGTTTAATAAAACTATATTGGCAAACAATGTTTAAATTACAAATTTTAAGCTATTGTCTTTAATTAATTATCAGTATTTTCCACCTGTGATAATCCTCTCGCCCCTTTACTTCCAGACAACCCACTTATCAACTCAAAGACATTTTATTATTTATATACTGTGAACGCCGACATGATTATGTTGTTTATAACTAACAGGCGCTCGCTGATGTTGAGGGCGCGTTGTGCAGCGGCCGTGACGGTGTCAAATTTAAACTCTACACTAACGAAAGAAGAGGAGAGTGAGGGGCTGAGGGAGTGGAGAAGGAGGGGCTGAGGGAGTGGAGAGTGAGGGGCTGAGGGAGTGGAGAGGGAGGGGCTGAGGGAGTGGAGAGTGAGGGGCTGAGGGAGTGGAGAGGGAGGGGCTGAGGGAGTGGAGAGTGAGGGGCTGAGGGAGTGGAGAGTGAGGGGCTGAGGGAGTGGAGAGGGAGGGGCTGAGGGAGTTGAGAGTGAGGGGCTGATGGAGTGGAGAGTGAGTGCCTGGGGTAGTGGAGAGGGAGGGGCTGAGGGAGCGGAGAGTGAGGGCTGATGGAGTGGAGAGTGAGGGACTGATGAGTGGAGAGGGAGGGGTTGAGGGAGTGCAGAGGGAGGGGCTGAGGGAGTGGAAAGGAAGGGGCTGAGGGAGTCGAGCGTGAGGGCTGGGGAGTGGAGAGGGAGGGGCCGAGGGAGCGGAGAGTGAGGGGCTGAGGGAGTGGAGAGTGAGGGGCTGAGGGAGTGGAGAGTGAGGGGCTGAGGGAGTGGAGAGTGAGGGGCTGAGGGAGTGGAGAGTGAGGGCCTGGGGGAGTGGAGAGGGAGGGGCTGAGGGAGTGGAAAGGAAGGGGCTGAGGGAGTGGAGAGTGAGGGCCTGGGGGAGTGGAGAGGGAGGGGCTGAGGGAGTGGAGAGTGAGTGCCTGGGGTAGTGGAGAGGGAGGGGCTGAGGGAGCGGAGAGTGAGGGGCTGATGGAGTGGAGAGTGAGGGGCTGATGAGTGGAGAGGGAGGGGTTGAGGGAGTGCAGAGGGAGGGGCTGAGGGAGTGGAAAGGAGGGGCTGAGGGAGTCGAGCGTGAGGGCCTGGGGGAGTGGAGAGGGAGGGGCCGAGGGAGCGGAGAGTGAGGGGCTGAGGGAGTGGAGAGTGAGGGGCTGAGGGAGTGGAGAGTGAGGGGCTGAGGGAGTGGAGAGTGAGGGGCTGAGGGAGTGGAGAGTGAGGGGCTGAGGGAGTGGAGAGGGAGGGGCTGAGGGAGTGGAAAGGAAGGGGCTGAGGGAGTGGAGAGTGAGGGCCTGGGGGAGTGGAGAGGGAGGGGCTGAGGGAGTGGAGAGGGAGGGGCTGAGGGAGTGGAGAGTGAGGGCTGGGGAGTGGAGAGGGAGGGGCTGAGGGAGTGGAGAGGGAGGGGCTGAGGGAGTGGAGTGAGGGGCTGAGGGAGTGGAGAGTGAGGGGCTGAGGGAGTGGAGAGTGAGGGGCCGAGGGAGTGGAGAGTGAGGGGCTGATGGAGTGGAGAGTGAGGGGCTGAGCGAGTGCAGAGGGAGGGTCGGCAGCCTGTGGGGCCACTGAACGTTTAATCTGACATAAAGACTGAATATGGAAGCATGCCGACCAATTTTACTACATCGTTCTGATCAATCTTCAGTTTCAGTTCAAAATAAACAAAAATCTATCATCACTTCACAGCAGACAGCACATACAGTATTATGTCTCCTTTGAATATTCTCCACAGCTGTAGTAACAAAACTTCTAACATATCTTTCACCTTGTATAGATGTGGAAGTGGATTTTAGTCTTGATGCTGATCTCAAAATCAGCTGCAGATGAAAGTAAGATCTGTATTTCTATTATTGTGTTTTTTTGATGTATACAATATATATTTATACATATATGCATACAAATTCATTCATACATAGCTTGTATACCGTTTTGGTTTGTTTTTTCCCCCAGATCTGTTTAGAAAAATGTTCACTTTTCCTCAAGAATCCACTACAGCCCATGTGCTCCTCCAGACCGGCCCCGTGTCCTTCACAGCTCTATCGCTCTGCTTTAGGTCAGTGCACGCTTCTACAAATATAGATTGATGGATTTATATGAATTTTTGTGGCCGCCACGGTGGCTGGGTGAATAGCACTCTTGTTTCTCAGCAAGAAGGGTTCAAATCCCGCTCGAAACAGGGCCTTTCTGAGTGGAGTTTGCATGTTCTCCCCATGTCCACTGGGTGCTCCGGTAGGTATGAATGTAATGAGGAGTGAGTGAGTGAATGGATGGTGTGGATTGGAGACTTTGATGCGCCAGTGTCTTAGGCGTCGCGCTTCCGTCGTCACCGTGTGGAGAGAATGAAAAGTATATGAACTCTGAACATTATAAAGCGCTTTGTCTGTAAAAATGCGCTATATAAATAAATATTACTTACTTACTTGTTTCTGTCCCATTCCAGATCCTTCACTGACAGTCCACAGCCGCACACTTTCTTCTCACTGACCATGAATTCCACCACAAACGATCTGCTGGTTCATTATGAGCCCAAGCCAAAGAGCGTTGTGCTCCAAGTAGGTGGCGCTGAGGTCCGATACAGAGGCGTGGACTTTCCTCTGAACCAGTGGAACTCCTTGTGCCTGACGTGGGAGGCCAGCTCTGGGATCGCCCACCTGTGGCTGAACGACAGGGGCCTGACCAGGAAGTACACCTCAGAGTCTCACATGAACGGATCGGCTACCATCGTTCTGGGGCAGGTACTGAAGGGAGGGAGAAAATACGATTAGGAAAATACACGATAGACACGATGGCTAAGCCGGCCCTGGGTTCGAATCCCGGTCGGAAAAATTGCCATTCTGAGTTGAGTTTACATGTTGTCCCTGTGTCTGCTCCGGTTTCTTCCAGGTGAGTGAAAGGATGGTGTTTGGTCAGAGGTTTTGAAGGACCGGTGTGTTCAGCGTCTCGATTTCGTCTTCACCGATGTGTGAAGAGAATGAAACAATATCTGAACTCTGAACATTGTAAAAGCATTTGGGTGACCTTGGTCTGTAAAAATGCGCAAAATACCAGCTACGGTGTGTGCAAACCTGGTAAAGACCTATAGTAATCGTTTGACCTCTGTTATTGCCAACAAAGGTTATATTACCAAGTATTGAGTTGAATTTTTGTTATGGACCAAATACTTATTTTCCACCATAATTTACAAATAAATTCTTTAAAAATCCTACAATGTGAATTCCTCGATTTTTTTTTTTAACATTCTGTCTCTCACCGTTGAAGTGTACCTATGATGAAAATTACAGACCTCTGTCATTATTTTAAGTGGGAGAACTTGCACAATCGGTGGCTGACTAAATACTTTTTTGCCCCACTGTATGTAGCACAACAATGTTTATTGAGGGGCAATACATACAATACATGGGAGGAAGGTTACGTTTTTAGATATGCATGATTATGTAAATGTGGGGTTTTCACACTGAACAGAGCAGAGGAAATGGCCCAAACTAAGCAGACTCTGGCCTGGTCGTACCACACCATAGAGCAAATTAAATTTCGTACTAAGGTCTGGAGGTGCTCTATTGAGCTCTGTTTACAGGTGGGAGGGGTTAACTCCTTTTGCAGATTGAAACAATTGGATCAGAGTTTACCGTGACGTATGTAGTGCGCCCGAGTCTGTTGTTAGAATTTAGCATTTACCCTGCCCTTTCGACGCGAACTCACCCACAACTAACCAACACCCACCTCCCACGCTCGCTGATTTGTCGGTCGAAATTCAACCGATTGTAATCGCTAACCCAGGGACCAGACCCAGACGTTACATGTAGTGAAATGATGATTGAGCGGAGTGTTCGGATGGCTAAGGCCAGGCTAAGCAGACTCATTCAGCAGAGGAAAAGCTTTGCTGTAGTGATGAACACGGTTTAGGGAAGGTTTAATCCTTGGTATATGTTTAGATTCGTTTTTAGTATTTATGATTTATGAATGTAACAATTTATTGCCTCCATCAGCTACTGAGGGTCATCTGAATTTCCTCCAGTGGGATAAATAATCCATTATAAAAAAACGTTTCCATAGCGTTGAAAATTGGATCACTCTCCAATTTACTTAAATTGGTAATGCGCTGAGATTGGGGTGTGAAAAACCAGTCCATTTGGCACGACTGGATTATGTCTGGAAAACCCTTCTACTCTATAGTTAGGCTGCAATTTAAACACATACATTTGATACTACTGAGACAGGGCCAGCAGATGCTTTCAAGAGCACATAGAAAAGACATGCATATATGATCAAGCTATTTGCTATTCTTTCTGATTTCTATTTGCTGACTAAGGATAATATCTAGCCCAGAAACCTGTTCCAAATAACCTTTTATAACTGAAGTAGCTTTCACTGCTGATGTACAGAAAATGAAAATGAAATGAAATTGTAAATAAAATAAGTATAATCACCGGTGGCAGAGTGTGAAAGCAGAGAACTGGGTGGTCTCCAGGCGCACAGGAGCTGTACTAGATTTCTACGGTAAATCCAGCATCTTCCCAGTCAAGTTTGGAACCAGATTTATAAAGAAATTTACACAACACTCACTATTAATTTGTAGCATTTTCACCATGATATATGCATCTGATATTTATGACCATCAACAGTCATCCAGGTGTATGAATTACACAAGTTGACAGCCAAAAAATGGTCAGGGGTTTCTCAACTGATTTAGACTAATTTTGGTGTTCTGAGTCCGAATATCACATGCATTTTACTCTTTCAGGTCAACTTTTTGAGATACAGCCATAGTGTTACGAATTACGTACGTCTACGTTATTATGAATTCTGCTTATCAAATTTGATGGAGTAAATAAAAACTGAATGACTTTGGATACGTTGACTTTTATTTCTTGAGGAAAACGGAAAAAAATTCAAGGGTTTCTCAGCTGATGATCCGCATTTCTGTGGCAAAAAATCCTGACCTGATTGAGCCAAACCAAGGTCATTTTCAGACTCAGAGCATCAAAATTAGTCTAATTCAGCTGGAAAACCCTGGACTATTTTCAAAAAATATTTTTTTGTTACCCAGTGTTATTATACAAGTGAGATATACAAATTCAAAACTTGAAAATGAGGTATTCCACCGCGGGACGATAATGTATTTAAAATTCTCCAAACTTCCTCTTTATTCTATAGCTTTACTCCTATTTTTAAAGGATCTGGTCAAAAACATAAAACATGGCTTTGTTTACATCCACCTCCACCACTTTGTCTCTGGCTTTCTTGAACAAAAAACGGCCTCTGATTGGTCGATTGTCAATTCTCTGAGTGTCTGCGTTTCTTCTATGCCTAAACTGCAGGTGAAACTCGGAAAAATAGAATAACGTTCCATTTAATGTTGTAATTCAACTTAAAAAGTGGAAAATAAATAGGACACTCATTACAAGGAAAGTGAGATGTATCAACCCTTTTTACACAATGTTGATAATTGGCTTTAAATGTGAGTCTGAGCAGAAACATTGTGGCTACTAATCTACAAGAACTGCTGATGGAAAAGGGAAAAGAAGCCCCATCACACAAAGGTGAGAGTGCTTAGCCCGGGAAATGTACTGAAAAGAGCTTTGAGCTGCATGAGGAAATGTGTTGTTTTTTGGAAAGTAAATCCAAAAACACAACAGAGCTGAGGGATAAAACATTTCAGTGCGAGCCGGCCTTCCTGAGTGACAATGTGAGCCGTCGCGTCATGAGAGAGATGTTATGATGTGGATTTTATTTCTGTATTTGGATTTATTTTGACATTAGTTCTCTGTGGTTTGATGTACCCTGTGCCCATTGTATTGTCAAGTCCTGTCCATGTCTGTCCTGTTGCCTTTGGATTTTTAAGTTTCGTTTTATACCTTGGACTCTTGTTTATCATCATTAAATATTTATTTTTATTTTTGCATTCCTGCTTTTGAGTCCTCCCTCATCTCACGTGACAGGAGATCGCTTGTGCCGTGTTGCCCATTGCATACTTTGCTGATAAATCTGGCGTATTCGGTGCAGAGTTTTGCCGACGATAAAGCCCAGAAATATAGATTTGAACTTCTCAGCTCTCCGTTCGCTGTTGACGTGAAGAGCGCACCGGGTATAATCTAATTTAAGCAGATTGAGCTTCAGTGTAATGAGACACTCATGTCAAAGTATGATTCTGTTGGTGCTACGCAGTTCCAAATGCTTCCTCTCTGACGCAACTCTGCGCTCTCCATGTTCGGAAGTAAAAAAGTGAACGACTCTTTGATGAAGCAAAACACCACACAGGAGTCGTCTCACTGCGAAAACACCATTTAGTCCTCATAATGTCCTCAACTCAGGCGTAGAGCACTTAGGCAGAAATTTTGTAGAGTATAATGTTTCTTTTTTGTGCAAATCCTTAATTTTCATGAAGTTAGAAATCTCTTGTGAAACTGTAATCTTACATATTTAAAATAAAACCATAACTGCATTGTAATTTTTCAATGCATTTTTTGAGTTTGGCTCGCAACTTGGTCCTAATTTTTTTGTGGCCTGCCTTACTTATATACATAACTGTTGTATGCCATAATAAAAAAATAAAAACAAACAGGCTTGTTATAGGTCACTTTGTATGTAATGAGTCTATACCACATTTTGGTTTCACATTATAACATTTTAAGGTAATAATAATAAGTCATTTAAAATCACTAATGACCTGTGCTAGGACTGAAAAAACCCACACTGCTACAGCCACTTTTTTATAGCCACTTTATATATCCTGCACAAAAAAGACTATATGTTTAACCTTTCAATATGTTTGCACACTTCTTGTCTTTTTGCACAAACTGAGTGATACTATCAATGCCAAATGCAAATGTCTCCTTTGTGAGATCAATAAAGTTTATCTTATCTTGTTACAGAAATAAATGTGGCTGCAATGAAAAAAAGGAGGTACTGAGCGGCAGGTATTATCCAGGCTACAGTCTGCTCTGGGTCTCCTGATGATTCAACAGCTATCCAAGGGTGTAGGGCGAGTCAGTGGACGTTCCAAACCGCTATCAACCTTCATTAAAAATGTCTCTGGTGTCCGCCTGGTGTAAGCAGTCTGATGGAGGTTAAGTTTGATCAAATGAGCTGTTGGCTGAGTGGAGGCAGTACAAAACTTGTTTATAATCTGTGAATTTTCAGTCAGTACGATTATCTCGCAAGACTTCAAAAATGGCTGATTTAAAAGGAAATCAGAGTGAATAAAACAAAGCCAAGAAATTATCAAATTCAGTCGGCAGCCGTGTTGGAGACCAGTGCCACAAAGCAAACCAACATCCACATCTGGCGGAGCAAAGAGAAAAGATCTGTTACATTATTTTGCATTACGACAATCGCAAAGTTAGTTCAATAAAATCCTCAAACCGTAGGTCCCGTCTGGATGTCCATAAGTGATCAGTTTCCCCCTTTGTGTCTTCAGCCTCTGCACTGACACCTTGTTTATGCCAGATTGAGCAGATGTGAAACCTCCAGGAAATGACTTCACCAAAATGAGTGAGAGCCACGAATCGCAACCGCCTGGAGTCTTTGCCTGGAGTCATTTTGCGCAACGTGACCTTTATTGTCCCCGTAGGGAAATTTTTCCTCTGCATTTGACCCATCCTGATGCCGCGAAGGCTTACGTCAGGAGCAGTGGTCGGCATAGTACAGCGCCCGGGAACCCATCTCCAGATGTTGATGCTCTGCTTGGTCAGGACCACCGGAGCTGGAGGATTTTACCTATTAAGCATATGTTTAGTGGTAGGGGAAACCGGAGCACCCGGAGGAA